CTCTGGCTCTTCCAGGGGAGGGAATTCTGTTAATCTGCATGACATTTTCTTAAAGGGAAGAAGAAGAAGAAGAAGAAGAAGAAGAAGAAGAAGAAGAAGAAGAAGAAGAAGAAGAAGAAGAAGAAGAAGAAGAAGAAGAAGAAGAAGAAGAAGATTGGATTTATACCCTGCCCTTCACTTAGAGTCTTAGAGTGGCTTACAAACTCCTTTCCCTTCCCCTCCCCAGAACAGACACCCTGTGAGGTAGGTGGGGCTGAGAGAGCTCTTTCCAGAACTGCCCTTGAGAGAACAGCTCTGACAGAACTGTGGTTTGCTCAAGGTCATCCAGCAGGTGCAAGTGGAGAAGTGGGGAATCAAACCCGGTTCTCCCAGATTAGAGTCCGCACACTTAACCACTACACCAGACTGGAAAGAAACCCATACAAATCAGTGAGGGAAGAACTCTCTTCTGCCATCACAAAAATCTCTGGCAACAGGAGCGAAAGTTGTCACAATGAGAAGGAACATTCTGTTATCACTGCTGGTCCGGGTAGCCTTTTTGTGATGCAAAGTGCGGGCAGGGATTTGGGGGGTGGCTCCATAAATCTCCCGGTTTGTTTTGCTGCCTGCCTCCAGACTGCCTGAACAGGGAGTCTGTCTGGCACCTGGCAGCCGACAACATGTGGCTGGTGAGATACATTTGTCTTGGTGGTTCCAAGGCTGCATTGGCCTGAGTGAAGGGCTTGAGTTATGTGTAGTTTAGTGTTCAGAGGTCTTTGCCGTGACACCTTTGGTCATCAATCCACGCCTGAGAGTGCACTCACGGGGTAAAAGGCCAGACAAAGTGCACACCTGCCCCCCAAAAGGGCATCTCTGTGTTTAGCTCCTCCCCTTGGTAACACTCATGTCCTGACATTGTAAGGTTCTATGTTTCATTCTTGCTTCACATCACTGGTTGCTGCTAGCAGGTGTCAGGAAATGGTTCACGAATGAGATTAGCTATACAGAGGGGCAAGAGACATGCCAAACGCACAGCTGCTGTTTTTGGCGGCAGCCATGTGTAGAGATATGTCTACTTTGGCCAAGGAAGGAACGTTTTGGGCTCTTTCCCAAAAAACTGAAACTACACAAACCAGTAGCACGATATGACTGTCATTAGCATAAGAACATCAGAAGAGCCCTGCTGCATCAGACCAGTGCTCCACCTAGTTCTGCATCCCCTCTCACACAGTGGCCAACCGGTTCCTCTGGAGGTCCAACAGCAGGGCATAGAGGCCAAGACCTTCCCCTGATGTTGCCTCCCGGCTCTGGGATTCTGAGGATCAGTACCTCTGAAGGTGGAGGTTCCCCTCAGTCGCCATGGCTAGTAGCCACTGACAGACTTCTCCTCCATGAATCTATCTAATCCCCCTTTAAAGCTCTTTATTCCCATGGCCATCACTACATCCTCTGGCAGCCAATTCCACATTTCAATCACTCTGTGTATAAAGAAGTATTTCCTTTTGTCTGTCCTGAATCTACTGCCCATCAGCTTCATTGGATGCCCTCAAGTTCTAGTATTTTGGGAGAAGCAGAAAAAGTTCTCTTGGTCCATTCTCTCCATCCTGATTAGAATTCAGGTATGGTCCACAATCAGGTATGGTCCAGGTATGGTCCACAACCAAGAGATGCTAAGAATCATGACTGTGTGGGGTAATGGTGAGTGGGTTGGTTTTCAACTGGGGAGACCTGGATCTAAATCCCTGATCAGGATTCAACTACACCTCACCAATTCCTCCACATTTATTTTAGACAACTTTATTTTGCAAATGTGGCTGGTGAAAACTTGCATATTTTTTCCTACAGCGGGATAAACATGGCTTGCAGGCCGCTTCTTCCAGTGAGAAACGATGTGACCAAAGTACAATAGCCTCCATTTAGTCGTTTTAGTTTCTAGGGAGAGTTCAGACTCGATTAGATTTGGAACCCACTGATTTGTCTTTCTGGCAGTCAACAGTATCTGTAGCACTCTCCCCCAACACCACATGCCAAATGAATCCAATTTCTTCCTGCCAGCTTTCTTCATTCTCCAACTTTCCCACCCATACATAGTAATGGGGAATACTATGGCATGAATTAACTGCATGAATAAGGGGCTACTGCACTTGAATCTAGGAAAGGTAAAGGTTTCCCTTGCTCGAAAGCCAGTCGACTCCGACTCTAGGGGGTGGTGCTCATCTCCCTTTCCAAGCCGAAGAGCCAGCGCTGTCCGAATACATTTCTG